TCAGAGAACAAAGTGCTGAGCCTTTGGCGTTAGCCCTTAAGAAAATGAAGGCTCTTGGAATGATGAGTTTGGTCATGTAGAGACAGGAGAGAATGGGGTAATGAGATGGCTGTAGACATAGCTGGGTTTAAATCCCTGGGGAAAGTTATTTCATAGGAACACATGTGGTTGAATGCTGAAAGATGGCAGAGAAAGGGAGTTATCTTTGTTTTTATTTGTAGATAGTGGGTGATTCTGGAAAAACTGATACATGAAAGAAGTGTGCAGTAGGTTAATTGGGAGGAGTGAATGGACCTAACTGTCACAGGTGCAAGAAAACAAGAACAAAGCGTTGTTTTGCAAAAACCAAGTACAATATAAATGGAAAATGATGTGTTCACATAATAGAAGATTATTTGATAATAAGAAATGAAGTACTTATTTGTGCTACACAACTTGGATGAATCTTGGAAAAATGCCAAGTGGAAGGAGCCACTCAAAGGACTACGTATTGTATGACCTTGTATGATTCCATTCTATGAAATGTTGGTTAACAGGCAAGTTCATAGAAATGAAAAGTAGCTGGGCGGGCTGGGCTGGGGGAGGGAGATGCCAGTTAATGGAGCAGGCTTTCTTTCCAGGATACATGCCAAACCATTGGCTTTAAGTTTTTGTATGAGCACATTAGAGAATGTGGAAATTTTATCTTAATAAAGTTATGAAGTGAATCAACTAAAAATGAACTGACTGAGGAGAAACAGCAGCCTATGAAATGGATACTCTGAATTTGGCAGCGTGTGCTGGGAAAATGTAAGGTTGCTAGGCAGAGGAGAACACTTGTTCTTGTATTTAAGAAATCTCTGGAGGAGGCCAGTCAGAATACTTGGGGTTGGAGTGACTTGCAGCCATGCGTAGACCCACATTTAAAATGAATATTGGGGGTCAAAGTGTGTGTGGCTCAGTGAGAAGGGCCTATGATCAGTCCCAAATGTCACAATTTTTTTAAAAAAATTCCCACCAGTGTTGGGGCTTTTCTAGGTAGCTATGATGAGGAGAATCAAGGACTGAGGGGACATTGAGGTGTAGGCCTGCAGGGATTCGGGTTGTTGAGAACACAGTCTGAGAGAGGAGCATGGGCAGGGTGGCCTGAATGTGAGTTGAGAATTACTGATGATGAAGCCTCCCTTACCTGCTAGAGGTGGGCAGTGGCTGGAAATACCTATCAAATGTCTGCATTTCCAGTGAAGTGGAAGACCCGGTTGGCCAAGTAGAAATGGAGGATCCGCTTCTCTGCTTTATGTACTTGCTCTCCTGGCCCTCATCTCTGCTCTTGGAGATCCCTCTGTGGGCCTCACCTGAAATCCCCTGTGTTCATGTGGCCTTTTCACCCTCAGAAATTTCTGCCTGTGGATTGGCAGCCTACCGTCTACCCGTGAGCCCTTCCATATATCTCTTCTGCCAAGGCAGTATCTGTGATTTAACTGAAGTGGCCATTTTGGAGATCGTTAGGAAATGCGGTTGTTTTGGGTTTAACTTCAGTTTTTGTTTGGTTGATACCACCTCTACCTCACCCCAGTCTTGCTTTCTAACCCTGGCTATCCTGGAGCCTACCATCCTCCTGCCTCCACATTCTGAGTTCTGGGATTACAGGCAGGCATTTGGATTTTTTTTCCTTTGTTTTCAATCTCTCCCAAACATTTTACTAGAAGTTTCTAAAGTGTGTGTGATGTGTAGCTTTCTCAGGTCTAAGATCTTTCTCCATTTGGCCAATATTACTGCTGTAGTTCTGTGCTGCTGAGCCCGGAGTGCAAACATGATGTGCTGCATGATCTCATTGTTCTTGATCTTGCAGCGACACCTTCATTCATGCAGAGGTCAGTGTGTCTTACTGCCAGACTCAGTCCTGCCCACTAGCTGTTCTCAGTGTCTCCTACCCTAGTTCCTGACTTACAGTTTAGCCTATTGTCTTTCTGAAATTCTTGAGGGTAAAAACCTAACCACTACTCCAATGGTATGACCCTCTTTGCTTTCTGTACACCACTTAGCAGAAAGTTTTTTTCAGAACAAACAGGATCATTCATCTGCTTAGGATCCCACTCTGGTCTCTTTTATTAATTAGGCCACGACCAGGTTATTTATCATGACAGTCCAGGTCCCTGCATTGCCTTGGCCCACCTGGTCTGTCTGTAGAGGGGGGTCTGCTCTCGGCAGCCAAGGTCATCCTCCTGCAGTTCTCTTGAACAGTGAGCACCCCTGCCTCACTGGAGTACTAAGCTTTTCCCAGGTTGTTCCTTTGCCCAGTCACAAGTTTCCCTTGCCCAGACTTCTTCTATGTTCCCATCTAAGTCCCCGTTGTCTGTCAGCCCCACCTTTCTGTACCGTCACCATCTTGCTGTGGCATCTTTAGCAGTTGGAATTGAAAAGAAGATTTGGTTTAAGCTCCCAAACCTGAGTGAGTTCATAGTAAAATTTGGTGTATTAAGTAGTTGCTTTTTTAAAAGTTTATAACTACATAACTTAGGGATGCTGCACAGCTTACTCTAGATAAACCTAATTGCCGTTTATGTGTCTTATTTTACATATCTTTTCTATAGTTCACTGATGTGTAATGCTGGCCTAAAGATTACCTGGAAAGAGTTAGCATTTTTCTGCCTGTGTGCCTATTACAGGCTTTACCTTCTACATTTTGATTATATCCTTCAGAAGTAGTGTGGTTTTACTGTAAAAATAGCAAAAAAAAAAGGAGCTGTAGTAAAGGGGGGAAGCTTTAAACATCTTAAGAGGACGTCCCAGCTGACATGTTTTCCCAACATTGGTTGTATAATATTTAGAGCAAATGCCAAATGCAAACATTCATACCTATGCAATAGATTGGACAAAGGTTTTTTTTTTCCCTTAATTTCACTTTGTGGGCGTTTTAAATACATGATTACCATTGGCCCAGTTTATTCTTGCAAATCGTCAAATCCATCCTGTGAAGGATTTATGAGAATAGTCCTAGGGACTGGCTTATGTTAGGAAAGAATTTCAGTTTACCTTTTCTGTGGTGTGAGATTGGTCTTGTATTTCCACTCCCAGTCAGGTTGGTGGTTAAGGACCTCCCCATTGCCCTGCAGGAATGGCTTTGCTTTCTCAGACTTTTCTGAATAGTGAGAGTATTTTGAGATCGTTCCAGTGAACCTACAGTGAGCACTGGAAGATGTCAAACCAACCTAAATTAAGCATCAATCCTTAATTCTTGCAAATAAACTTTCTAATAAAAGATAATAGCAAAGTCAAGTCTAATGGTGTTTTTGGTTCCTCTAGCCTATGCCTTGGGCCTAGCCAGTGCTGGGCCGATTTTATGTAAGGGGACCCTGTTACATGAGAGGAATGGTGTACCTTAGGGGGTTTTGTGTGACATATTCCCAGGATACTAAGAATTCTAAATTTGCCACTTGAGTATTTTGGCCTTAGTCAGGCTGGTAATCTAGTGGTTAGCTAGGATTTTCTCAGGACATTTCTGAAAGTCCTTGCCATACTTACCCACCTCATGGTGCATAGCTGCACACTGGGAGTTTGATTGGCTTTAAGTTCTTCTCAGCTACTAAATGGCTTTAAAGCGTAATTGTTGTGTTTAAACAGAGTGTGTGGAGTAGCAGTGTCCGCAGTTATTGAGCAGCCACTGAGTTTTACCATCTAAAGTGGCAGGCAGTACCTTCCCCTTCTTGGAGTACTCCAGTGGATGTCAGAAGTAATCCCTGAGAAATGCTCATCTTCCTGCACTCATAGGACCTTGTTGCTTAAGTCCGTACTGTGGCTCCACGCCTCTGAGTCTACAGTATTTTAAGCTGATGTTTCATACATTGAGTGATTTAGTCTAGCCAGACATTGGCTCAATGGGACGTGGGAACTGGAACGGGAATTGTGGTTCACCCTTAGTACTGACTGTCCATGCAGAAAATGTAGGATTTACAGGACGTACTTTACTAATTCCCTGCAATGGGTAGATGATGTAAGTTGACTCCACTTGTAAACCTAAAATTACGATGTGTTTCTGTCACACAGGCACTTCTGACCATTGTCAGCAGGTGGTCATAAACCATAACTTTGTCAGACGTTTCTGTGGTACATGGGCAAAGACATGACTATTGCCCTTTGCTGTCTGCACCCTTCTAGATTATCCGAATCATTCGTTTTGATCATAGTGCCATTTGGTCTTTGTATTTGGAGAGAGAGATTTAATGCCTACAGATCAGGACCAAAATAAATCCTTCCTTTACCTAAGTGCTGGGTTGTTGAGCTTATAGGATTCTTGAGTCAGAATGAGCAGGCTGCCCTGCAAACCAGGACGAAAGGCAGTGAGTGAGTGTGACTTTGTAGACAGTACCAGTTTGTCAGTCTTAGGAAGAGGAGTAGCTGTGTGGCTGAGGATCCCACGTGATCCTGCAGTCATGTTGGCCTAATGATTTACACTTTACATGGTGCTTAGGAAAAGAAATGAAAATAAGTTTTACATGTGTATGGACCATTGTATTGTCTGTCCTAGAATAGTGGTGCATGTTGTATAGTAACTGCATGGAGCAGTCTAACAGGATGTTCCAAGTCTCTGGCCTCTTGACGGTAGGGACATTAAGACATGAAAACGGATTGTAAGCTTGGGATGAGAGGACACTGAGCATACCATTCTGTCTTAAGTAGGTGACAGTGAGTGCAGGCCTTCCTTTATCTCACTGAAAATAGCAGAGTGAGACATGCTTAGACGTCTTAAGTGTTGGTAAAACAACTTCTGAGGAGGGCTGCTAGAGAAGACAACTGACAGAAATTGCAAAATCATAATTGTGTCTCAGTATTTTTTGTCCTCTGTCTGTAATGGTTGCCTAAATCGTGAGCCTTAGTTCCTGGCTAATGTAGGGTTAGGTCAGCATGACTTAGGTCAGAGTGTAACTGACTTAAGACTGGATTTAATTTTTCTTTACAGGTCCCCAGGCAACAGCTCCAAGTAGAGGACATTTACAGTTTTCATTTGCGTTCTCTTTCAGGCACTCAAGGCGTTGCCCCCGGTCCTGTAATTGGGCTTCAGGCACCCTCTACTGGTCTTCTTGGTGCCAGACCCGGCCTGATCCCACTCCAGCGCCCCCCAGGGATGCCTCCACCACATTTGCAACGGTTTCCTATGATGCCACCTCGGCCCATGCCACCTCACATGATGCACAGGGGTCCGCCACCAGGACCAGGGGGCTTTGCTATGCCCCCACCTCATGGAATGAAAGGGCCCTTTCCACCACATGGCCCCTTTGTTAGGCCTGGTGGAATGCCAGGGCTTGGGGGCCCAGGGCCAGGCCCAGGAGGATCAGAAGACAGAGATGGAAGGCAGCAACAACCACAGCAGCAGCAGCAGCAGCAGCCCCAGCCTCAGCCCCAGCAGCAGCAGCAGCAGCAACCGCAGCAGCCACCACAGCAGTCACCATCCCAGCAGCCAGCACCGTCCCAGCCACCAGCGCCAGCCCAGCAGCAGCCACAGCAGTTTAGAAATGATAACAGGCAGCAGTTCAACTCAGGTAGAGACCAAGAAAGGTTTGGAAGAAGATCTTTTGGAAGTAGGGTGGAAAATGACCGGGAACGGTATGGGAGCCGTAATGACGATAGAGATAATAGTAACCGTGACAGGAGAGAGTGGGGAAGGAGGAGCCCTGACCGGGACAGACACAGAGACTTGGAAGAGAGAAGTAGACGCTCTAGTGGGCATCGGGACAGAGACAGGGATTCTAGAGATAGAGAGTCCCGTAGAGAGAAGGAAGAAAATCGAGGAAAGGAGAAGCACGAGGTAGCAGATAGGGCAGGTGGTAACAAAGCTGTCGAACCTCCCCTTAGCCAAGTGGGAAATACAGACACTGTTTCAGAACTTAATAAGGGGGAGGCCATGGCCACGGTGGTAAAACCTGAAGAGTCACCTGCTGAGGCTACCTCATCCGTTGAACCTGAGAAGGATTCTGGCTCAGCAGCAGAGGCTCCTCGCTAGAGACTGGATTTGACAGAATGTGACAGTGACACTTGGGTGTAGAACGTGAGGTGTACAGATGCTGTATAATATTTGCTCCTGCTGCATCACCCCACAGTAGTCGGTGGGGATTGTAAGCAATCTGATTGCTTTCCTTCTATTTAAAAATAGCCACAAAATAACAAAAATACTGAAGATATATTACCCTTTTTTTGCTGTAACTTTTTAAAAGTTTTGACTTTTAAAAGTTTACAAATCCTAATTAGAAGTGCTCTCTATTTTTTTTTTTTTTTAATTTAAGACAAGGTAACGGTGAAAAGCTCCTCAAACAATAGGGATGTTTTTAATAAACTCTATTTTCGTAACAAACTTTAATGTGTGCTATTCTTCATACACTGCATTAAGATGGAACGGATGTTAACCATCAAAGATTGAGCTGTTTGTTAATAATTGTTGGAGTCTGAGTTAGACTTCTTTGATGGGGAAAAAGCGATACTTATGTAGTATATTGCCAATACTTGGAGTTTTATTCTTTTGACTTTTAGTATTTTGATCATAAGGTTAGTGGTCTTAATGTTCAACTAAGAAATTTGTGTTTGCAAGTCAGTTTTTTTTTTTCCCCTCTTGGCTTTGTGGAAATGTTGCCCTAATTAATTTGTAAAAGAGAAATTTGTTAGGAGAAATAATTGGATTCCCTACATTATGCTACAAATTACTTAATTGCTTGGGCACTACTTACTTAGAAGGTTGAATGTGTTGTTTATAATCATCCCATTGGAATTTCCAAGGTGTAAAATGAGGTCAGTGTTAACGTTTGCAACCAGAAACCTTTTTATAGACTAAGTACAGTATAGCATTTCTTTTAAGCTTTGCCTCTTGCCTTTACCATCTTCAATAGCCCAAGAAGTACACTCAACTTTTGCTACTACATCTGAAGCCAAACCAAGACTCTAGTAATATTGATGAAAAGCACTGACATAAAAAAATGTGTTGTCTGAGCCCAGTGGGTATTAGTGCACATCTTTAATCCCAGCAAAGGCAAAGACAGGTGGATCTCTGAATTCAAGACCAGCCTGGTCTACAGAGCAAGTTCGGGACAGCCAGGGAGCTACACAAACTCTGTCTCAAGAAACCAAAAAAAGTTTACCCAAATGATTTTTACTAGATGGTGGTGGCACACACCTTTAATCCCAGCCCTCAGGACACAGAGGCAAGTGGATCTCTTGTGAATTCAAGGCCAGCCTGGTCTACAGAGTGAATTCCAGGACAGCCAAAGCTATACACAGAGAAACCCTGTCTGAAAAAACCAAAAAGAAAGAGGGTGGTGGTAGTGGTGATGGTGGGGACTTAAAATGTCAGGGACTTAAAAATGTTAGGTATTTATTTACAGCAGTGGATCTTAACCTTCTGTGACCTAAAATTAGGTTCTTAACCTAATGCTGTGACCCTCTAATACAGTTCATGTTGTACTGGCCCCCAACCATAAAATTATTTTTGTTGCTATTTTATAACTAATTTTGGCTACTGTTATGAATTGTAAATATCTGATAGGCAAAATATACGCTATACAACCCCAAAGGGGTCACGACCCACAAGTTGAGAACCTCTTATTTACAGTCTGGACATTCTTTGCATAAATTACATTAAAAGACAAGATGACTTGGCCAGTAAAGACACTTTCTGCCAACCCTGATGGCCTGTTTGATCCCAGGGACAAAAAAAGGTAGAAGAACATGAACCTGTCTTCCTCTTACTGCACACACCCTAAAAGTGTGATTTTAAAACTACAAGGTGCTAGGTTAAACAAACAAAAATTATCAAACTAACTTAGCTTTAGGGCACTGAGAAGTTCCTTTTTGTATGCTCCCACTTGACATTTAAATCTAAGATCTTCCTAATGATGGGGACATGTCTGTAGCTGTACCAGGTTTTGGCTTTATGGTGACCCTACTTAGGCTTTTAAGTTCTTACTAGAATGTTTCTGTGAAGATCATAAACACACATCTGTCCAAGGACAGACTTGCAGCTTGTATTTCCAACTAAAAATACTGAGAAATGAGTTTGTGATGACACCAGATGCTTCCCAAGTTAGTCTGCATTGAGTCACCCCCCCACATCAAAACTCCATTAAGGAAATCGACTTCATAGGATTTACCTCAAACTTCAACAAAACTACCTACGAATGCATTCCTTATGAACAATCTTAAATTGGAAATTTAAACTTAAAAATTTTAAGCTGGGACACGCCAAATTTTGTCCTTTTCCAATTTAGCTGTCTCTTTTTTGAAAAATTTGAAAAATTATCAATGAGGACTATGGCTTACACCCAATTTGTCAGAAACTGAACTATTCCATATAATCACAAGCCTGTATTTCCTTTAAAAGGCACTTGATTTCACTAACAGGGGCAGTAAAAATCCAGCAGCTCTGGTCAACCTTGGTTTCACCTCCCAGTGCTACTGTGTTTTCTGAGTGCCAACCTTAAAACAACAGAGGTGGTATTAAACTTGGCTAGCTGAGGCTACATATTTGCCTTTTATGAGTTTGATACAAGTTTACCAAAGGGCTTTTTCTTAAATCATGACATCTAATTCTAATACAATTTTAAAATATAAGGTTAAGTACTCTGAATTTTTGAAGAGAGCTTTCAGTAATTTCCCTGATAATACTGAAATTTTAGGGCAGGAAATTTTCTCCTCAAATTTGGTTTGGACTACCACCCATCATTTTGATGGTATCACATAAAACACTTTCAAAATCAAATACTATGTGAGTTAGCATCATTGAGTCTGCTGTTCACGTTCAATGTATAGAGCTAACTTAGAAAATTTTTTGTATAATGGGCTCAGAATAAGTGCCACACATGATGTTTATGCACAGGCTTGAATGAGAATTTCAGCTTAACACCCAAGTAGTCCAACAAAATACAGAAAGGCACAGAAACAAACATTTTAATTCAGTGAGTTGTACACATTCAGTAAGCTATAAACATCCCCCAAGCATCCTCAATCAGTTCTCATTGTAAGTCCCAGTGCAGTCAAAGGAGTCACACAGTTACAACTGTTAAGATTACAGTTTAATGGTTTGGTTTTTTCTACAGTTTAGCAGGACAGCAGGTGAGTTTGAGACTCAGACCACACAGGGAATGTTTACTGGGCAATCCCAATCACACCACAAGCCAAGCGGCTCCCAGCATTTCCAGTCTTTGTACTTTCTTCATTTCCACCTTTGCCCAAGTCGTCTTGTTTCTCATGGACCTTTGAAAAGAATTAGAACATTTAGGTTTGGGCAACCAAATAATTAGCACTTCTCAGCAATACTACAGACTTAAAACGACCACTTACATGAGAAAATGTTCAAATCTATCAGTAAATTAGTAAGCTAATACTTATACTAGCAGTTAAGAGCAGACTACTAAGTTTTTTCTTGCTAGTGGCTATTTCTAGATGAAATACTAAGGACTCAATTAACTACCAGGCACATGCCAATCTTAGCCCCTCCCCCACACCCTCACAATATAGTAGTTATTCTTACAAATTTCTCTATGAAAATCTCATATAGTTGAATGAACTATAGGCCTACACATAAGAGGCAATTCTGAATATCTTTACTTAGCAACAAGATTTTAAATTTTATTTTTAGAACATTTATGAATGATTGTTCTGCTTCACCAATAGGGCTGAAGAAAATTCTAAGGATAAAGGGTCAACTGAAAGGAAGTGCCTACTGAAAAGTTAGCTGCCTGAGGTGGGCAGGAGCCTTTACTACTTGGTGTTCTGCATGAACCAGATTCATCTCCCGAGGGTAACTTGGGAAGACGGCTCCCATATGGTAACCAAGCGATAACCTACAGACTTGAATACTGTCATCCATCGCAGATTTTAGACTCAACGAAATGTTTAACTGTAAGGGGGGGCAATCATGGCAAGAAAATCCGGCTGTTTTAGACTAAAGACTATTGTATCCTCAACTCAGATCCAGTCTGATCAAATGTAACCTGCTTTCTACTGCATTTCAGCAGAACAGTGTTCTTAACTGACCTAGGCAAATTAACTCTTCACTATTACATCCAATAAAAGAACTTTTCCCTATTCTGACCTCTTTAACAATTTATGTGATTCTTTAGAAACTAGTTTAACCACCATGAAGTCATGGAGAGGTACATAACTATGTTAGAAGAAATTCCATGTAGATCCTTGTATGAAAACTTACCACCATTGTACGGCCAATGATGGAATGCTCTCCTGAGAGTGAGATTACACGATCTTCAATGGACACATTGGCCACACCGTCCTTTCCAGCAGTCACATTGCCCAGGTCTCCAACATGCCTAACATTAAAACAGCATCAGGTGGATGAGCACTCATGTCTGCTTCACATCAACAGACTTCAACAGCTAAATTAACATCTGACTAAGTCAATACATATGAGTAGATGAAGAAGTGCACATACATTATCAGCTCTGATGGCTTTTCCGGACTGACAAGGTCAAAACAGGCAGCTAGGATCCCTTAACACACAGCTTTTAAAGTCTAAAGTAGTGCTCTGAGAAGAGTCATGGTCTGGGACTTTAGCAAAGGATGTCTGTCAGCTCCTGAGTTAGCAAAGGTTTGCTCCCAGGCCTCCATTCTAAAAAACAAGCTAGCCCTCCTTTAAATTTAGGACTTTCCTAAGGTTTTTCATACAAATGGAGTCTCAACTAGTTTTCATTATCTGCATTAGTATCCTATTATACAATGATTTACTTTGCTAGTGACTGATAGTACTGTTATCCATGATATTTTCTGTATTGGTTCCTTTTGGCACTTGTATTAGTTCATCTTCAATAAATGCTACAAAACCAAATCACTTTAAGAGTCCATATTTGTCAGCTCCTTCACCCAATACAAACTATTCTAGCATTTGGGGATGTGGGAGTTGAGTGAATGGAAACATACAACAGCAGAGGTAGGGAGAGCACACAGCTCTGTCTTAACGGTGTCCTCCACAGACCCCTCTCCACCACCATGCATACGAAGCATACTGCTCACCTCTCTTCATCCGCTGGACCGCCATGTTTCTTAGAGTGAGGATTAAAATGAGGTCCTGCACTGGTACAGCCTATTTACCAGAAACCAGTAGTCAGATTATGAAGTAAACCGCTGTATGTAACAACACAGGCATTCTTACAACTTCCAACACAGCAAACATCGACCTGGTATGTGCTGGAGCGATAAAAACAGGAAGCAGTACCCAGGTATAAATAGCCTTACATTCTCAAGCTACCATTTTTTTCTCTAGACTGTCACATTTTCCTTTTTGTTTGTCTTCTGAGTTTTGAGACAGGGGTCTCACTACTTCAGCCCAGGATGTCTGTAACGTATGACCCT